AAAAAAACGACTTTAAAATTTTTCTTAAAAAGATTTTAATAAACAAATGCTTCTCCTTTAGATTTCTTTTCATTTGAAACAACTGCTTGTTTTGCTCTCTTTAATGGCTTCATTGATATACCAGAGCATTGAGAGCATTTAATTTTTAAAGTAACTTTCTTTGTGTTCTTAGCTTTACGTTTCAAAATTGGCTTAGTTTGACCACCAAATCCTTTCTGTTTTAAACGATAACGTCTATTTCCTGCCCTCATTGGATTGTCCTTTCCCTTTTTGTAAATACTCACTTTAGATGATGTATGTGTATTACATTTTACACAATAATTACTTTTTTCCTTTGGAATGTTAACCATATAGATGGGTGAAAAAAATTTTATATAAAAATAAAAGATGATCTTTGAAATAGAAAACATTCCAATTTATTTTCCATATAATAACATATATCCAGAACAACTAAAATATATTAAATCGTTGCTAAGTTCTATTAAAAATCCTGGACATGTGTTAATTGAAATGCCTTCTGGTACAGGTAAGACTATTTCATTATTAAGTTGTACTGTATCATATCTACTGTACTGTAAGAAAGATAACAGACCATTTAAAATAATCTACTGCTCCCGTACAATAGCTGAGATTGATAAAGCACTGAAAGAATTAAAGAATCTTATTAGTTACATTAAAGCATACATTCAGTTTGATTTTTTTGGCATTGGATTAAGTAGAAGAGAAAATATGTGTAATAATGATGATAATAAAGAAGAAAATGGAAAGTGTTTATGTGGGGACTTAGAAGATAAAAATATAAGTCTTTCAATGGGTGTGTATACTTTTGATGACTTAAAAGAATTAGGTAAAGAAGAAAAATTTTGTCCTTATAAAGTAGCACGTAATTCATTAAAACATGCCGACTGTATAATTTATCCTTACAACTACATGGTAGATCCTTCAATATTTGGAATTGTATCTGAGAAATTACCTAAAGAGAGTGTGGTGATTTTTGATGAAGCACATAACATTGATTCTCATTGTATTGAAGCATTAAGTATTGAATTAACTAGAAATACTCTTGTCTCCGCTGCTAATGCACTCAAAGCAATTGAAGAAAAAGTTAAAACAATGAAAGAAACTGTTAAACAAAAA